GTATACATGGAGAAAATATTGTCATATAACTTAATTCCTGTCATCATCTAGGTCTTTCATGATGTAATCTTACCTCAGGCATTTAGGCAGAGGTTGATAAAGTGATTTGTCTCAGTAAGAATGATATCCAAATCCACTTCCTTTATGTCACTGTGTTTCTCAGGTTCATTGTTTTGGTTTATTTTCCTGTTGTTTAGCCCTGTGTTTTGTTTATGCTGTTGCACCTTGAAGTACTTGGGACTTGGTTTCGATGCTGGAGAACAGAGTTCCAGTTTGGAGTTTGTTTATTATTCAGCTCATGATGTGCTGATGGTCAGTGTTTATTTACAGGAAAAGCTGAGAGGAAGAGCCATGAGCTCTCTCTCACTTGGAAATTTGCCCAAGGCAGCAATCATTCTTCACTTCATGCTACCAGAATAGTTTCATCTGTACAGGTTTGCCAAACACATGGTCAAAATAAGATTATTTATTTTTCCTTGAGGCTTTCCTGGTGGGAGTGAAGCTTGTTTGTTACAAGAGAAGCCCATGTCAGAGTTTTTCCTTTTGTTACTGTCCCTTTGGCTTAGTTTCTTTTCTCTTCTAAGTGGAATTTAACAGCTTGTCTAGTTGTTTTCCCACAAAGGTCTCCTACAAAACCAAATGCAAACCACTGTAACCAGTTAATGTTTCAGTTCCTGGGATTGTGAGAGAATGTATAGGCAAGAAAAACAGAATCGCTGTATGGATTACAGGATTTTTTTTCAGTAGTGTTGCCATGTCAGGCAATAGAGTCTGTGCACTTAGCACAAGCTTACTACTTATTTATATTTGGAAAACAAGAAAACAAACAACTGAATTTCATTCTCAGTATTTTTATTCTGATTTTTTTCTCCTGTTTTCCCATATAACCTAATAACTCCAGGTAGTGATCAGACAGCCAACTGCAGCCTGCATCATATGGATGTAACTTGAAGCAATTGGAGAAATGATCCTTAGTGCTTAATATTATTACTTGTGCTAAGCTGTGTCTTCTAAGCAGAGTTGAAATCTACTGAGAAACTGTTTGAGTTTGCTGTCCAAACACATGAGTAATTAAATACTTGAAACGGTATGTTTACAAAAACTCCATGCAATTACAGATACTTCTGAAATCCATTACAGATACTTCTGATACTTCTGAGCCTCAATAGTGCCACAAACATTTCTACATATCAACATTAGTCCTGTGTTGGTGTTTGTACTCACATAGTGTCTAAAGGCTCCACCTAAACTGAGGGCTCATTGTACAAGGTGCTGGGTGTCAGACTTCTGGATAATTATGTGTGTCCTTCTCAAATACATGTTTTTTGTTTACCAAGGTGAAGGGAGAAGGACAATGCTATTCCTTTTCATCTGTTGCTAGAGTGGAGTTGTACAAAAGGACAGATGGGTAATCATGTCACAAGAAGGAATGGCTGTAGTCTGTGAATTTGCATAGTTTTGAAATAAGAGGTTTCTAGTTATCAAAGCAGTTCTGTCATTTTAGAATAAACCATCAGTTTTCAAAAGGGCTTGTATAATGTGTTTTATCAAAACACTGGGAGGACTAAAGAAACAAGGAATTTTGTTCCAACTCTATGATCTCTACCTCCTGGAGATCTGGAAATAACTGTCACCTACTTGTCACTCAGATTTACATGCACCACTGTGAAGCTGTAATGTGGAAAAGGGACACCTGAAGCAGAAATTTCACCTTCTTAGAGAGTATTTTTTTTCCTCATGGTCAAGTCACTACCTTGGAACTGATTGTAAGGATCATTGGGGTGAGTAGGTAAAACATTGTACTTACTGTGTAATAGTAGGAAACAAACAAACTTCTGATTCACTTTTTTTTTTTACAAAAAATCTGATAAACTAGCTTACTTTTTTTTTTTTTTTTTTAACCAGTTCAGCAGCAAAAGCTTAGTGCACATAATAACATAAATCCAGAAGAAACAATCAAAACAATCCTGTTCATGTAGAGAGAAAAAAAATTGCTGGTCTGGCCTGGTAATATCTTGTTCCAAGAAATGTGTTTCCATCTGCTCTTGTTTGGGCTGTGCTGCATAAACTTCTGTTTTATTTGTAGCTCACTTGGAGTTTAGAGGATCCATTTGTTCTTATTCCTAGTAGGCTCCAAAATTCATTGCTCTACGAATAGCCAGAGATGTTTGAGATTTCTGAAGAACAGGAAAGAACACTCTGAAATTCACTTGCAGAGTACTTGCTGCAGTGTTTAAATAGTGGTGCTGACTGCTTTGGTACAGAGAGGATTCAGGTTTACCCACAATACAAATGGTTCTTCTGGAGAGATTTACCTCTGTAGTAGTTCTGCAGATTGCAGCATCGTTGTGTTCACTGAATGCACAGCGGCACTGGTGTTGTGCTGGCTGAGGCCCGTTGGTTCACAGTGGGATGGGCTTAGGTCTTTCTCAAAGGAGGATTTGGGGGAGTGAATGAGAGGTGAAAGTTTGTGGATGAAGTATTTTTTCCACATAGTCTGCACAGGTGTTGGCTATACATGATTCATAATTCTGTACAGGCATTTAGGTCAAGGGATAGGATTGTGGGATTGTAGGATTGAAGATCTTTTGTGAATGTTGAAAGAATGCAAAATTCTATCTTTTTTCTTTTTTTTTTTTTTTTTAACCTAACATATGCATCCTCAAAATGCCTCTTTTCTGAATATCTTTGAAGTTATTAGCTACTCAGACTGCCTTTCTTCTCTTTCAGGCTGCCTGTTTAAAGGGCATGATAACCCTGATAAGTCAACACAATCTCTTTTATTTACCAAACTGGGAAGTCTCTAGAAAATTCCAGTCATGGGAAAGTTGTATAACCCTCAATGAACAGTATTCTGATGCTTTTCTGGGCTTATAATGCTTATTATCTATTTGAAAGTGCTAGTTTTGCTGTCTAGTACTAAGTGGATTTTAAGAATTATGTTTGTCACAGGGCAGTAGGGTACTAGAAGAAATCCATCTTAAAATAATGGTGTAATTCTCCCATGTATCTGTACTGCTGAAACAGTCCATTTACTTGCCTCCTTTCATATCTTTCTTCCCCTTGAAATTTAAGAGAAAAAAACCTAATTTAAAAATGAGCTCTACTGCAGTCTCTGTGCACCAAGGGCAGGCTAAACTGTTTTCTTTTTTCATTTCCTGCCACTTCATTCTTCTGTCAGAACTTTTCCAGGGGAAAGGGCAGGTCAGTATCTAGTTGTCTGGGAAAAGAAAACTTAGTTACAGATATTTAAACAAGCCCAAAACAAACAGCTTAATTGGTCACATGAGGAAAACAAGACACCAAGGTCATCCTCTCCTTCCCTCATATGGCCTCCAAGTGACCCTAAACATCTGATTTTTTTTTTTTTCCTCCTTAGCTTGCTTCTATGTTTAGCTTAGTAGTTTCTATTAACAGCACCCAAAATAGATATTATTTTGTGTGTACCTGCCCACACTGCATGGGAACAGGGGTCCTGCCATGGCAGTGGGGGAAAAGGGGCTCAAGTGCTGCTGTTCAACCTGCAGCAGGGAATTGGTTGTGTAACAAGGCTAGATGTGCAGAGTGACTGGTCAGGGGTTCACAGGCTCTGGAAAGTCTATGGCAAGGGGATCAGTCTTATGGCAGATTGCACTTAACCATCAGGATTTTCTCTAGGAATCTTGTTTTGTGTTTGCAGGAAATGGTACATTTTGCATTCTATTCTGCTCAAAAAGATTCATCTTCAGACAGGAATTCTCTCTAATTGTCAGGCAGGCTTGTGACTTACAAACTTTTGACCTTTTCAGCTCTCTCTTGATTGCTGATCTGCCTTAGCTGACAAAGGGCTTTGTGGTCCTGAGGAGAATAATAAAATTGGAAGCTATTTGATGATCTGTCTCCTTCAGAAATGCTTAAAGATTGAATGCATTTAAATATGTCTGCTTTTTAGGCCCAAATTCTGTTAATGTGGAGTAAAGAGAAGTCTTGGTGAAGTAAATGTTCTTGTACACTAACATGAAGTTTCACCCTGAAAAACCCTTTAGTTAGGTGAGAGACGGGAGGCCCAGAAACGTTGCTTAAGCTCATTCAAATAGGTCTGAGTTTCAGTATTTTCAAGTACTTCAACACCATGGCAACAAGAGCTTCAATGCTTGAGATAATTGGGGACAGGATTAGCATATTTCCCTAGGAAGAGTCTTCTGAGAGTTTTGAAGTGGTTTGCAAAACTGAGGTGGTCATGGGTTCTTGTCAGAGAGAATTTCTCTGCCTGGACCTGACCCTCCCAATTACTAGCTAACAACCAGAACACTTTCCAGTGCTCCATTCCTTCTAGCAGATTCACAGACCTGTGTGGGGTGCATACTGTTGGAGGGCCTACTAAATTCAGTTTTCACATCTGTGAAAACATTTGCTGAGCTACAGCAAAATCATGCTTATCTCTGAACAAGGTCTAAGATAGTTTTTAAAATTTAAATGTGAGGTTCCAGTCAAGCAGCAGAGTGGAAGGTGCATCTAAATGAGAGGGCAGCTCTCTATACCGCGATAAGAGTCATTGGCCACTCATCCTCATTCCAGAATCAGCTACATAAATGTTAGTGATAATGAAATGTGCAATTTATTGCTTGCTCTGCAGAGAGATTAGACATTGTAAGCAGCAAGGTGGGCAAAGACATGTTGACAGCTTGGAGTGGGGATTGTTACATCATAATCAAAATTTACTAAACCTGGGAGAATCTCCTCATCTGCTCTTGCTAGGATTATGAGAGGCTCCTTGAGTAAGGACTAAAATATTGGGTTTGGTGATGGACTGTTTTAACATGAAGATGTCTCAAGACCCTCAGTAGCTTTATATGAAGGAGTTGCTCAAGTGTAACCCTCCTCTAGACACAGGTGACATTCTAGCCTCAAAGGTGGTAGTGCTTTAAATTGCTTTAACATTCTATATTATAAAAAATGGTGGCACTAGTTCCTCCCATTTAATTTTCTAAGAGAAATAATCTATTTTCTTGTCTTTACAGCAGTTAAAAAGAAAGTGCAAAGGAAGTGTTTCCCTCTGTTGCTCATCTTCACCATACCTCTCCCATTCTGCTTCCTCCTCCTTCTGATCCCTGAGTGAAGATGAGTGACCTGCTGTGAATATGACATCTCTGACAAGTGTCATTGCCTCCCACCAGTCCGAGTGGGTGTCCTTCACTGATGAGCTGCTCCTCCCTCTTCCCCCACGAGGTAAGCTCTCTGATTTTCTCTGGAACTGGTGAGACTTCCTTGTTTGATTTAGACCAGTTACTTTCATATATCTAGCATGGGAGAGCTTGCCTTCTGCTTGGAAGCAGTTTGTGCAGAGATTGAATTATCTCCTGCTACCCCTATGTAATAGGAGAATTTGGGCCAAAAAGGCAAATTACTCTCCTTATGTGATGTAATGTAGATCTACTACAGGTTTTGGATCTATGCTTCAAAATTCAAGACAGTATCCAACCAACCATGGAGGACATCTCACCTATTAAAATCAAATGCAAGACTGCCCAGTGTTAATCCAAAAACTGCATTAGGTGAAAAAAAATTTCCTACATTTAATGGCAAATTTTAGATGTTTCAATAAAAAACATTGAAATAATGGTCAACCCTGTAAATCTTTCTATGTTACATCTATTTTAGGGAGCACTGAGTCTCCTTCGGTGAAATGTTTTAATTCCTCCGACACATCCTCAAAAGAGAACCACAATGCAAATGGAGAATTTCAGGACCTTTTCTGCTCAGAGCTGGAAGAGGCAGCTGAGCAGCCCAAGGTGGATTCTGCTGTGCTTGGTAACCATGTGTGTCCCAGCACTGATCTGTCATCATCCATCAGTGGTTGGGTTCAGTTTGAAGATGCACCGTGGACCAGTGCTTCATCAACCCACCCACAAACAGGTGAGGCAAAAGCAATGAGAAGGTCCAGTAAGACAACAAAGTACAATGAGAGCATACAGGATTTTTGCCTTGCTCTTTGGCTTCTCAGAGGTTTGAGTAGTTTGTACTGTATTTTAACACAATGAATGTTATCAGAGTTTAAAAAAGGGCTCACACTATCCTTCTGGATTGAACAAAAAATATTTTCATTTTGTAAAGCAAATGAAAACCTTTTGTGATTTACTCCACCTGTGTCTTGACTAAGTCCTGGAGATTGCCAAAATGCATTCATGGGCAAAGAGCACAGAGGTGTTTTCAGTAGTGACATTGCTTACATAGAGGTATGAAAAGCCATTGAAAAATCTGAGCCTATTTGCCTCTGTAATCTGGAACGCAAAGAATGATGATCACCTCTGTGATCATAGCCTTTACCTGATCTTAGTTCCCATATGCTTTTTTCCCAGCAATTCACTGATACCAGCAACTCATGTGCCAGTGCTCATCAGTACTTCCTGCTGTCTTTGATGCTGTGATTTAGCAGCTGAAGAACGGCAATGACAACAGACATTTACCTTAATTCCAGCGCTGCATGCACTTTTCTTCAAATATAGCAGTTCTTTCTGACTTGCTTTAAACATGCATGCAAATCCTCTGCCTTACCTCATCAGCTTATGGTGACTAATGTGGATATATGAGCTTTAATTTTTCTGCATGAACAGACTTCTGTCTTTCCTTGCAGGAGGTTGTGGAATAATTGCCCAAGAAAACATCAGTTCACTTTTTCATGTTTAAATTGAGATTCTCTCTTATAAATTCCAGTTTATGACTGTTATTTATTAAAGAAGTCAGAAAACTTGGATTGTCAGCTTTGGATTGGGTTTTGGATAAACCCCAACTGGTTATCAATCTGTTATGCTGACGGGTGCTACAGACTAGTCCTTTTGAAACAGTGTGGTTAGATCTTTGTGCAGAAGTAGGGGAACCTTCAGACTAAAAGAGATTTCTCTCACTTTCTTTATATTTATTTATTGGTTCTTAGTTGTAAATACTTATTTATCCTTGTGATGTGGAGAGAAGGAAGAGCCCTAAGGAGGTGTTTCCTAAGGATATTTTAAAATCCCTACTTATGAGCTGGTCCCACTCCTTTTCTGGACCCTGTATGATAAAGGGCCAGACCAGTGCAGCTGACAGCCTCTAAAGGGAAGCAGAAATGACAGTCTTTGTTTCTGGCCCTTTACTTTGAGGGGCATTTGACAGCAAGAGGTAGGATAAACTTCAGCCTAGTTGTTCTCCATTATTGTGCAGATCACGATTTATTCTATGGGCGGCAGCAAAGCTGGAGATGCTGTGCACGCTGACACCCTGAGTGGAAAGCCCGTGGTGACAGCAATTATTCATTTCCAGTAGCAAACATTCTGCATGAGAACAATAGCAAATACCCAGCCGGGGGGAGGGAGGAGTATAAAGGCTAAGTACAAACAGAAGGATTGGTGTGAGAAGGATGGACACATTTGAAATCTGTTTCCTGTGCAGGCAGCCGTGAAGAGCAACGTCCTGGAGGCTCAGCACCCCTGGTCGCATTCCTGTCAGGGCTGACCAGATAATTACCCAGGCTGATGGCCAGGGTGCCTGGAAACACATTTTGAAAAGGGCTTGCAAAGTGGGATTTCCAGAGTGCCATGAGAGCAAAGAGGATGGGTCCTCAGAGAGAGAGATGCTGTCTTGCTCTGACATTAGGGCTACAGTATTTTGGCACAGGTTTCCCCAAAAGCAAATATTTCTCTTAAAATGCTCAGAGTCTAAAAAAATAGCAATTTAAATACAGTTAGAATTTAGTGGGAAGTACATTTTAAAGAAATGTAGACTAATGCTGAACCCTTGTTGTTCTGGGAAAATTGAAGACATTATTGGGGGAGCAGAGGTTGGGGGATTGATGGCAAGAAACAGGGCTGAATAAATAGGCAAAGAATTTGGAAGATGAAAAGAAAGGTCAAAATTTGCGGTAAAGAAAAGAAAAGCACCCATAGCAAGCCTCACAGTGAAAACGATCTTTATTTAGTATGTTCTTGTAAACCCTTCCTTCTGCCAGGTTCGGGCAGAGTAAATGCTAAACAAAATGTTTGTTTCAAAATATTTGGGGTTCATGTATAGTTAACTGACAGCTGCCAAATCATGTGGATTTCTCCTCAACAAGCAAAAACTCTTGAGTGAGGCCATAGAAATATTAAGTCAGATAAATGATGTATTGTGGTGTCCCATTCTCTGTTTTCCTTTTGCAGGGAAAATAAGAAATTTGAATATTGTTATGATTATTATCAGCCTAGTCAAACTGTTACTGCCAAAGTGAAAAATGAGATTTTTAGGCTGACCCAAATGTTCCTATCACAAATGCTACACAATCTGTAAATGATCACAGCCAGCAGGTGACAAAACATTTGCATTTGTTACACAATGGGCCTCCAACTCACTTATTCTATCAGTGTTAGCCGCACTCTTCAATTCAATGAGGTATTCTTAGTCACCATAATTAGACTAAGGCAAGTCTGTTACATCATCCCTCCTAGTCAGCCATGCCCACTTCTTCCCAAGAGCTTTGTCTGGTTTTAAAAGGCTCAAATTACTTGGACTCTTACCATGACCCTTGAGAGGCTATCCAACAGCACATCTGAGCTTAACTACTTTGTGCTGTTCTCTCTGAAAGTAGGCAATATTTGCAAGACAAGATCAGCAGCTGGAAACTACACCTGTCACTAGAAACTGTGATGCTATGTTAAAATCAGAAAAATCTGAAGTCCTATGTAATAGGAAATTATGCTAACATGGTTTAGTATAATACAGTGTAGGGATCAAGGAAGAGGTCCTCAAAACACCAAAGAGGAATTAATGCTTCAAGTAAATCTGCATATTAAAAGACAATCCATTGTTTTAAGCTTAGACCTGTCAAGAAAAGTAAAATGCATGTTGAAGGAAATGTTTTTTTGTTTTAGGAAAAAATGAGTTGATTTTCAGTATCCAATGCGTGCTACAGAATTTGCATTTTAGGGATAGTTCTGGCACTGGTCTTTCAACATAAACAGATTTCTGAGAAATTCCTACAGCAGAAAGGCTGTGACTCTGGCTATTGGCATTAGAGACTGAATTCAAAATTTCTACAAGAGCCTTGCCTCATTTAGGAATTTGGCTGCAGCACTTCCAGGAATCTGAAGAGCAGCAAGCAGAAGCATCTGAAGAGAGATCTTAAAACTGTGTGTAGATGTTTACTTTTGCTTGTCTTGCTTTTTGAGATTGCTAGATGGTCTTTTGGCTCAGCATAGTTGAAAATGCCCTTTTGCTAATTTTAATAATTAGTGTTGGGGAGCCTAGAACAGTCACAGGTGGAAGGTAACTGTAGTAAGAATTTAAAGAAGATCTGTGGCAGGAAAAGCTGCCTGTTGTTTTGGTTTTCCGAAGTACAAGACTCTTTTTAGAAAAAAAGCAAACAATTCTGTTCTTTCAAGATGGCCCAACTTGCCTTGAATAAAATGAATTTGCCCTTACATAGAAGTATTTGGCAACACTAGTCCAGTCAGATGTCTTCTTAGATAACAATTGAGTTTAGAAAGCACAAAACTAGTTGGCAGTATTTGAGTTATTAGATCTCACGTGTTTCTAAATTGCTGTGACTGACTTAAAAAAATACTGGAAATCTAAGATTTTTTTTTTTATAAAATAAATCCATAGTTTCTAGGACATAAAGCACACTTTTAAAAAAACACTTGGCTCCTGTTAATGATCCACATATAGAGCTCAGCTTTTCAGTTTGTCCTTTATGTCCAAATAAAGTGCTCTGTCTGTCAAAGCAATTTCAGCTGAAGTTTTAAGGACGGCTTTTGAGGTGCCGTGTTTAACAAAAGGATTGAGAGAGGGACTGACAGATTACAATCATACATTCATCATCCTTTCTCTACAGGCACCAAGCACCACACAGTGTGCAGTTACTGCAGGGAGGAGGGGTGGGCTTTGGTTCTGTATCAGACACAACAGCTGTCAACCTGTGCAATAAGGAGGCAGATCTGACTTTCAGCTCCTCATCCTCAGGGATGATTCCTCAGATGCCACTCAGTGTCAGTAGGCTCACAGCTGTACACATATAAAAATATCACTGCCTGCTTAGCTGAGGCTATCAGTGCAGATATACAAAATAAATTCACACTTCTCAAGAGGCAAGGCAGAGAGCACTGTTTGGATATTCTGTCTATGCACATATCAAAGTTTCCATAATGTGGAAGTGTCCCATCATATTGCTTGGATGGAGAGAGATAAATCTTCTCTAACATTAATTTGTCATTTTTTCCAAAGTATCTGTCAGCATAGTAAGGGTTGTTTGTTTATTACATACTGAGAAGAGAATCTCTGTGTCAGTAGTTGTTCACTGTAACTGCGAGATTTGGGGAGCATCAAGATCTTTGCTGGTTTAACAGCTAAATACAGATGTACTAATTTAGAAAACAGTTATTAAGCTGATATTAAATTAGAACTAGTCTCTACCCCTACACTTTTCCTTAGTTCAGGAAGACTTTTTAACCATAACTTTGTGTTCTATTAGTATTATTTCCTCACTAGAGTCACCCATTGTTACTAGCATTCAAGTGATGTTGTGGGCAAAGAGCATGTAATACAAAGAGTACAGAATACAAATTCATAGCAGTGGATGTGTGTGATTGTGTTCTGAACTCTGGGTAATGGTTAGGCAGGACTGAACTGTTTGACATGCAAGTCTGGCAAATTAGTAGAACAGGATTTTTGGTCTACACTGAGCAAAAATTTTATGTAGTATATTCAGATTGGGATTCTACATTCTGCATTTTTAGAAACAAAAGCCATTCCTAGTGCACATTAATAGGTCAATTTCAGGTTATTTTTATACTCCCCCTTCATGCAGAGCATTCCTAAGATGATGACTGCATTTGAGTGGGTGTCACAGATAGGGAATGCTTAATTAAATAAAATAAAACCACTTTAAAAAAATCTGTGGTGCTGTAAAAACTCCACTGAGTTGCACAACAAACATATTCAGGTCTTGTCAGCATTGTCAGAAACATGAAATCTTGTTCTGAAAAGTCACAGCTTCTCCAATACTTGAGCAACAGGAAAGCATATGGCTGCTTGCAGCATGGAATTTAAGGCAGACAGCTGAGTAGTGCTGGAGGGTGACATTGCCAGGCACTAGCTAAGTTGCTCTGCATTTGTTACAAAATAACTGTATTGCTGTAGATGTTGGAATTTGTATTTACAGAGCCCCAGTACACTGATCTACCTTGTCTTTGGAATAGTTGTGATATTCAGGTAGATTGCCCTGCATGTCTCTAACAAATACCTGTTTTCTGCAACCAGTGTCTGCATCAAAAGCACCCAGCTGGACTTCCCCCTCTTCCAACTCTTCTGAGAGGCAAGCCCATGCCTCAGAGAGCAGCTGGACAACCAACTCAGAGGACACCAGCAGCCCAAGCATTGCTCCCTCCTACACAGACCTGCAGTCGCTGAATACTGAGGACTTGACCAGTGGTAGAACATCTGCAGCAGATTCAGCTGGTAAGAGGGAAGCCTTCAAGCTTCCATCTCAATCTTTTTGTTGCTACTCAAACTCACTGTTCAGAATTGAGCTACAGGGAATGAATCCAAAGCAGAACAAACTCAAGGATTAGGCAGACTAACATTTTTTCTACTCTAATTCCAAAAAATTCACACTTGAATTTTACGCAGCACTGACATGTGCCGGCTCCTGAAGTTAGAGCCAAATGCAACTATGTACCTGTTGATAGACTTGGAGCATTTCTGCTTTTGACATGCCACATTAGCTTAAGCTGATCTAGGAGCTAGTATGTTGTGGGAGAGGCTGGATGCCTTTTCTGAATTTCCATGCAGAAATTTTCTCAGCAGTGTATTCAGCTGAGGCAGGCCCAGTTCTGCTTGGTCCTCTCTGTTCCAGTGAATGCCAAGACATAGATCCAGTTTGCTGGAGGCATTCTTTGCATAGTGCTTTGCACTGTTACTGAACAGTAAATGCAGAGGGAGTGTAAGACATGACATAAGACGGCTCAGTAGCAGATTTTAACCATTTAAGGATCTTATATCTGACCTTGTAGGGCTCTATTCAGACACACTCCTGATTGTGGAAAAATGTGCTACATGGCATTGTAGTTCTTTGCTCCTCAGTTGTACTCTGGGTAATCTGAAGCAGGAGAAATAAAGCAGAGTGGTGCCAGTCATGTCATAGAGAATGGGAACAGCTGAATGACAAAGCTTTCACATTGCATAAAAAAGCTGACATGTCAGGACACAGAAAAAAATACACAGCTCCAGGAGGAAGCACCTGCACTATGTTGGAAGCCGTTCAACCCAAGCTGAGGAAGGTCAGTAGCTATGCAGTTCAGTGATGAAAATTGATTCCATGGTGTCATGATAGCTCAGACGTGGGAGATATTTGATGTGTTTTCTCTCAGGCAGTGAATGTAAAAATATGTTGGAAATAAGATCTGTTTTGTGAGAATGGGCTTCCCAAGCCTCGCTGAGGTCATATGTCCCTTCCATAAGAATCGTATGTGTACATCATCTGCAAAGAGTATTATTTCGTGGTTCAGTGAAGCTCGGTTAGACTTCTAGGCAGGTTTAAAAACAGCAACATGGTAGGTTCTGGCTCAGCACTTTAGACAAAGGATTTGTGGAGAAGTAGTGGTTACTTTGGATAAGTAGAGCTGTTTCTTTTTTCAAATAATGAAGTTACCACAAATCTGACTATTTTTATTTTGGAATACTCTGCTTCCCTGTACCTCTGAGTTTGGAAACCACTTTTTGATAGAAAGGTAGAATAGGCAAGCTGGAGTATGTGCTGGATATTGCTATTTTGTTGATTTGGTATAGGCTGCTCCATCTGAGCAAAGGGAATGAGAGATGCCCAGTCCATATATAACTTCACATTGTATAGGCAATTCAAAGACAAAAGGGCTGCTGTATATGCCTGTCATACACATGGGATTATATCCTACATATGGCACAAACTGAAGCTGATACTTCAGTAAAAGCTTTGTCTGCAACTTTCTTATCTCAATCAGTCACAAACTGGCATATTTATTAGCAAGACAAGTACAAAAACTCACTCCAGTCACCTAAAATTTTTATAAATAAAAGAGGAGTTGATATTAGCAAAGCTGTGCTATTAGTTAAAACATAAGATACACTAATCATAAACATAAGATGCATAAAACAGAAGATACACTTACACTTCCAGTACCTTAGTGATACTGGAACTTGAAATGTGAAATACAGGGAGTCTTTGTGTCACCAGGTGTAGAGTTTGCAAAAGAGCAGCATGAACAAAGTGCATCTGTTTGTCCTGTTCGTGGGATACCTCACAGTCCACTCCCTGAGGTGGCTGCTGGCATCAGGAAGATTTGTGGAATTGGGGAAGCTGAGGACCTAGTGGCCATGGAATTGTTGTACAGTTCTGGCTGCTCTTCTCTTGTTCAGTCCACTGTCATCCCATCATAACAGTGCATAAGCGGACAAAAAATGCGTGATCATTTTCTTCTCTCCATCTTCTCTGCCCCTCTCCAGAAATTCAGTTCTTTAAAGCTGACTTGATTCAAGCATTTGATTTACATTTCTCCCCTCAAAGGACTGGCTGCCTCAGTCTGCAGTAAAGTTTGAAGGCTCCATCAAGACAATGAAATGGCATGTATTTTGCCATGAAGGCAAAGAGAGGAATCCTCATGCTCTGTGTGATAATGTCACATTGACTGCTAACCAGAATGTTGACTCCAAGGTCAAGCTTGCTGGAGGGGAAAAAAAAAAATCAGACTAATTTCACTGCTAAAAACCCTATGAAAATAATAAATCAATGTTTGATCTACTTGGTGATGGTAAAGAATCAGGTCTATGAAACAGTCTGGGTTTAATACTGTTTCAAGTGAGAAAAACCTAGTGATGACAAAATTAAAAAATTCTACTCTGTGGTCAGATGCTAAATAAAATAACTGTTTTAGCCATGGTGAATTTTTATTGTCCGAACAGGATAAAAGGATACTCTGTTCCATAATTTCACCACTTGTCTTGAATTTATCCTGCATGCAAAATGCTTAAACACCAACTGCCTGTGGTAGTTCAGGGCACAGGGTTTTGTGTGGGAGCAGATAAAAGCCTAAGGTAGGTCTGACTGCAGGCACACACAGAGACAAGTCCCAGCCATAAAAATGTGCTGGTAGGGGGCTGGTAGGCTCTAAGCAGGTATAATTGGCTGGGAATTAACTTTGTCACAATGACACAAAATTTGAGTGTAAAACTTACGTGGTTGAGCTTGTGTAACACATGTGTTTATGCAAGATATGGCATAGGAAGATATCTGAAGGAGGAAGATGAGAGACCTGAATGACGCAACCTGAAAGTTTACCCTTGCTACAGGGGACTGCAGAAAACCTCCTGACTGATGGAGTTGGGATAAGCAGACTGATGTCTTGTAAAGGCAGCAATGTTCACAGTGGTGAAGGTAAACATTGCATGAGCAGAGCTGAAAAAGATTTGCTTTTCTATCAAAGTGCAGCTAAAAGATGCTGTACTTCATTGCCTACTCTTGTTTGAACTCTGGCACCAAGAATATAATTTTATTTTAGCCTCATCTTTGTCAGCACAGGGACTCTAGCCTGCAGCAGCTAGCCAAGAAATGTGGGTCAGGTGATAGCAGACTGTCCATTTAACAGGGCTGTGTTTATGTGGTTGTACCAGCAAGCACTTTGCAATAGCTGGGGTTTCACAGTGTGTGTGAAGCTGTGTTTAGTGCTGCTCAAGTGCCCTTGCCTCAGAGTTCTTACCATGCCTCACCATGTCACCCAGCTTGGATCAATGAGCCTGAAAAGAAGTAGGAACTTTTGGCCTTTGTGCTGTGCTCTGCAAGATAAGTAACACAGGACATCTCTGTTACTGATACAATACAAGCATTTGTTCCTTCTGTAGCAGATGCCTGTCTCAGCTTTCAAAAAAGGCCAAATATCTGCAAGACAGAGGAGCAAGGGAGAGGCCTTCTTGTAACTGAGGTTATGGATTTGTTCTGAGGTTGTGCCCAAATACCTCACAGGTTAATTTAGATTTCTGCATTTCACCATTCTTCTTTAAAATAATTTTATCTATAAAAATTATATTGTATACAAAATATAAATAATTATATAGCAAGTATGTATATAATAAGGAAGATATTACATATATATTTTAATAGCTCATAAACTATATTCTATTATAAACTTCAGAGGATATATAATAGAATCTCTCTGTATTACGTAATAAAGCTATGTGTGTGTATGTCTATGTGTAGGCATAAGTCTCCTCATAGCAATTTTAGGTGTATTGTTGATAGTTGTTGTTTCTGTTGTGATTTGTATCTTAGCAAAGCTGCAGCTATGCCATGTTTGATGTTAACGGTTCAATTTGCTGACCAGTTGTTCTCTTTGGCACTTTCTTCTATATCTGGGACTACTGGGATACTGAGGAAATGGCTATGTTATTATTTTCTGAGAACATCTGCCTGTTTGGAGATAGAAGGTTGCATGTGTGACCCCTAACTTCTCAAAATCCAGACAGTTCATAAATAGCACAAGGAATTAATTCTGAGAATGTTATTTTCAACATCATTTCATGGGGTTCTGTTCCAAAACTTGGAAATGGCAATTCTGACAAGCTCAGCTCCAGCTATCTCTTGAAGGCAATAGAGGGCAAGTAACTTTTCAAACCTTTTCCTAATGGTTTTCTGCTGTAGTTCTGTTACATTTCTTCTGTAACTGTAGCCAGTTAGATTCTGAATCCCGATATGATGACTGCAGGAATGGTGTTCTGTAAGTTTCAAACAAGCACCTTTGAACAGATTATATAGCTGTGCAATTTGGTTGCATTGAATGCCACGAACAGGGTACAAACTCTGAAATTATTCCATGTTAATTACCAAGGCGGGGGGAAAATAATATGTGCTGGTGATTACCGCCTTCCTTCCAGAACTGCATTTCAGTTGTGCTGTGTAACTAAGAACCAGCTTGTGCTGTGTCCCAGTCCCAAACACATCAAAAAATTGTACATGAGAGCCTGCCAAAGCCAGCTGGAAAGGCTACAGAGAGGAACATCCAACCCTTGCTTCAAGGAGTAGGGTACTCCAGAATACCATGAACAAAAAGCACCTAAAATACACTCCTAAACAACTCCAAACTGTAAGGGCTAGATTCAGCACCAGAGGCAGGGTTCTTTATTTTTCATGTCAATACCAACTAGCAATTCAGAAGTTTTATACCCTTATTGTCATCCCAGATTTTTCTCATGCATTTTTAGCTTTTTGGAGAGTAATGAATTAGTGGGACAGATCTGAGAAGCTAGGTCTAGATAATTCTTAGCAGTAGAAGAGCTGTGATCCCAAGACAGACCTGTGTACTGGAAATTAGCTCATCTTCAAGGCTTCCTGGCTGCAGTATCCCAATGACCTCTGCAGTAGAGTTCAATCCTCATCCCTGTGTTGCAGTGGGGAAACCTGCAGCTTGGTTGTGCAAGCTGGACCTAGGTGA